TTTAATTATAGTCATTAAACAAATCATTATTTACATATTTTTCTTATTTTTTATTTGTTATCTATATTATGGAGTATATTAATAACAATTAAAAAATGTATGAAATATCTAGTTAAGATATTCAGACAAATTTTGCATGTTAATTTAGCTTTAGTTATATTGCATTTTATAGTAGTATATTATTATAAATATGTTAGAAAATTAAATTATTATGTGTAACATATAACATTATTTAGTTGAGGTCATTGAAGAGCACGTAAGAACTGATACTGTGCAACAAATGGACGGTCCATCATCAAACAATGGGCGAAGACCAATAACTACACCATATATAAAAATAGTTGAACAGCCTGCATCAAAAGCTTTGAGGTTTAGATATGAGTGTGAAGGTAGATCAGCTGGGAGTATACCTGGAGTTAATAGTACGACTGAAAATAAAACCTACCCAACAATTCAAGTAATGTTATTAATAAATTATTTTTATTAATTATCAAATTTACTTTTTTTTACTATAATATTTTTTTGTATTTTGGTTTCAGATAGTGGGATATAAAGGTAGAGCTGTTGTTGTTGTATCGTGTGTCACAAAAGATAGACCATTTAGACCTCATCCTCATAACCTTGTGGGACGTGACAACTGCAAAAGAGGAATTTGTACTATTGAAATTAATAATGAATCAATGACAGCAAGTTTTCAAAACTTAGGAATACAGTGTGTAAAAAGAAAAGATATTGATGAGGCTCTTAAAGTACGAGAAGAAATAAGAGTAGATCCTTTTAGAAGTAAGGAAGTTGTTAAACATATCTATACACTATTTAGTTATACATTTTATGAAAACTAAAATAGAATATTATGTGCATTATTTTTAAATATTTTATAGCTGGATTTTCACATAAAGATAACCCAACTTCAATTGACTTAAATGCAGTAAGGTTATGTTTTCAAGCATTTCTAGGTGGTACACAAAAAGGAAAATATAGTATCCTTGAACCTATTGTATCGGATCCCATTTATGATAAAAGTTAGTTTGTTTAAACTTTATGAAATGATTAGTGTTCAATTGTTATTATCTTAAATAATTTATATATTTTGTAATTTATCATTTTTAGAAGCAATGTCAGATTTAGTGATATGTAGATTAAGTGATGCAGCAGCTTCAGTTGTAGGTGGTAGAGAAATCATATTATTATGTGAAAAAGTAACAAAAGGTAAAATTAAAATACATTTTTTTTTTTAATATTTTAATGTTTTCTTGTATGTATTATTAATTTAGATGATATTCAAGTAAGATTTTTTGAGGAAAAAGATGGTGTATGTACTTGGGAAGGTTATGCTGATTTTCAACCTTCAGATGTACATAAACAAGTGGCTATTAGTTTTAGGACTCCAAAGTATAAAGTAATGCAGGTAAATTTAAACTTTTATTTTTATAATTTTCAATGTGCAAATTTACACATTTATGGTTCAATATTTTTTTTTTTAATTTTTAATTTAGATTGATGGTCCAATAAATGTATGGATTCAGTTAAAACGACCTACAGATGGCATGTGTAGTGAAGCTCGTCCATTTTTGTTTACTCCAGTTGATTCAGGTATGTCCCCTCAGAAATATGATAGGCTACCAGAAAAAAGTTTCAATGATTACTGGGCAGATGATCAACCAGAAGCAAAAGTACCGCTTAGCGTTTTTGATAAAAATAAAGATAATGAGGATGAAGATAAAGTGGAGATAAAAGATGAACCTATGGAGGTCAATGAGGATACATGTTATGATATTAATAAAGAGAATAAAGAAGATTCAATTAGTTCTTCTTCAGAGGTTATGGGTGAAGATTTGCGTGGAACTTACTCTAGTCTTCAAATGGCATTTAAAAATCCATGTTCAATACCTGAAAGATGTCAGAGTTACGAGGATGTGTCAATTTTACCACCTAGACCTCCTAGTAGTTCTAAACCAAAGTTTGATAATAATACTGCACCACCATTGCCACCAAAAAGAGTTAAAAAAAATCCTAGACCTACAAAATATCTTCCTACAGTACAAGAAAAACCATCAAAAATCAAACTGTTGCATAAGTTATTGAGTATGCGGAAAAGAAGTAAATCAATGTGTTCATCAAATAGTAGTATCAATGAACCTATTAATGATACTCCTTTGACAGAAGCAGAAAATTATGCCTTATATACTTCTGTAGCACCTCATGCAGCCATGTCGGAGTTTGACGAATCGTCTATGTATTATAGCACTGTTGAAGGGGGCACAGTTACAACTGTAAAATAATGTTATCGAAAGATAAAGTTAACTATCATCATTTTGCTCAACATTTATAAAACAAATTGTTGAATTAAAAAAATAAACGTATCAGGGTTTTAAAATAATTTAATTTAATTATTGACTGGCAGTAAATATTGATATATTTTGCTTATACTAACAATTTATTTTTACTTTGTTAAATTATTGACTAGAGTATAATTTAGTTATAGAAATAGAGAAAATTAAGGTCTAGTCCATAGTTAATAAAATTAACATATTAACAACTTATTTTCCTTTTTTCATTATATAAATAATTGTGTAACTTTTGTTTTTGATCATAATTTTCATGTTCTTTTTCTAATATTGTTTATGGGTATATATTTTTATATTGCAGTTAAATATTGTGAGCCAAGTTAATGTTCAAAAATATATTTTATTATTTTAAGTTTATGCAATGTTTATTGATTTGTTTATTGCGCGTTATAGATCCAGCCATGTTGAAAAGGAAAAGACAGAAATTATCTAGCGAAAGTGAACTTTTGAGGCAATTACAGAGTGACCCTAGTGAGTAAAAAAAAATATAAATGACATATAAGCTTTTATAAACAACCCTGGGCGATGTAAGGTGATTTTTAAAAAAATGTTACTATTCGGTGCCGGTGTCATTCAGTTTATGTCAGTTTCATTTAATTAGCATGATACTAGTATTTATAAATTTAACGAACACGTGATAATGTGTATATCTCTGTACAAACATAATTGTGTTTCTTTCTTTTTCTATACATGTTCAAGTATATATACATAAATATTATATATATAGAAATTTTGTAGTTTAATATTTAGTCTGTGAAAATACAAGAAGAAGAAAGGATCAAATAAAATTGAGGAAGTAATAAGTAAGTAAAAGTGGGGTAGAGTATTTCTTGGTTTTATGTGGTTTTTTTATGTAGATTTCAAGATACTGGATGGGATATAATGTGTATTAGATTATTTCCTATTTTATTTAAAAAGAATTTATGTATACAATACTTGATATGAAATATTTATGTATATTCTTTACATAGTGCTTATATTAATTTTTATTTTGAAAAATGGTTTTTTTGCCAAAATTTAGTTTAACCTTTGTTGGCTATTTAAATAATATTTCATCGTTTTTTAATCAAGAGTGGTAAATGGATATTATCTTCCTTACCTTTAGTAAAATGTCCTTAAATACCTGCGCAGTTAATAAATTTGTATGTAGATCCAATAATAAAAATTCACCAATAAATATACATAAATCAGTATTATAAATTATATTATATATATATTTTTTTTTAAGTAAATGCAGAGATAAATTATTTTTTAGTTGATTTTATACACCTGGTATTCCATCCTGTGTTATTTAAATATTTGTTTTTCTAATTAGATTTCTTAAGTAATTTTAGATCATTATCATCTTTTGTACACTATTTTATTTTCTTAAAACAATGTGATTTTTCATGTTTAGAATGTTATTTTTGTTTGTAATTGCTTTATTTGTTAAGTGTTTTTTAACAGTAACATTTGCATGCTATAGCTTTATTTTTAAATTGTAACAAAATACAGTTTTATTATTAATTATATTATTTTAGGACTTCTGGCTCAGCCTTCTAATTTTATTGATGGAATGGTTATTGACCAATTGTCTATTAATGTCAAAGAAGAACCAGGTTCGAATTATATATTAGAATTTTTACATTCAAAAATTAACATTATTTATTTTTATTGTATAGAAACTAGTCCCAATCCTTATAGTGGCTTATATCCACTTTCAAGTTCAAGTGTTCTTGGTCAACATTCACCTATGTATAATTCAAGAACCCCTTCACCACTTGAATACCAGTTCCCAAATGTAAATTCTAACTCAATGTTTGGGCAAACTACATTACTGAAGACCAATATTCGACCACCTACAGGTAAACTAGTTTTTATTCTATCTAATAGTGTGATTAGATTTTTTTTTAAAGTTATTGATTATAATATTTAATAAGTACTAATACTATTTTATTATTTTAATTAAATCAATGTTATCATTACAAGTTAGTGCTTAAAAGTTTTTTCTTTATTGAAATATTTGAATATTAATTAAATTTAAATTTACATAAATAATAAATTTTGTCCAAAATTGTTTTATGATTATTTATTTTAAGTTAAAACATATATTTATTATTGTAACCTCCTATTTTTTATTTTATCATAAAATTTTGTTTTGAAATACTTAACAATACGTTTTAATAGTTTTTATGAAATTGTGCAGGAATTCAAACTAATTGTGGTACAATAAGTGGTTGCACTATCACTGAAGTATGCCCTACACTTAATACTCAAAATACATCATCTCAAAAAAATTATGCTTCACCAACAACCATAACTATAGCACCTTTACCATGTCCAACAGAAGGCAATAATGAGCCTAATCTCATGGAAACTACATTCTCAAGTTTAGATCGTTTAGATTCTAGTGATTTGAGAGAATTCACCTTGTTGGAAGATAGTGAACATGTGTTGTCAGCTAATTTGTCCGCTAGTCTACATTTAGCTGAAAACAATGCTCAAGGAAAGCCTGATGAAGAAATTGTAGCCCAAGAAAATAATATGTCAGACAGTTTTGATAGGATTGCTAACAATACCCTTAATGAATTCTGTGAGATTTACACTAAACGTAATTAATTATTGTTTGTTAAAATATCTATTTATAACTTTGTTAGGTAAAATATTATATATAATATATACCGTTTTTCTTTTTACAATACTTCTATACAAATTTTATCCATTTGACATCTTTTTTTGTAAATAAACTATCAAATGTTTGCAATTGAAGAATGGACATCTGTTGAAAATATATAAAATAAAATATTGACAAACTCAAAGTTACCATATGAGTTATTATATTTTTTATCTTACCTGTTTCCTAATATACTTCACTACTAATTCAATTTGTTCTGGGTCATTACATTCTTTATTGAATACTCTACGCCATACCATACTGGCTAAGACCATATCATTACTGAGCCATCCTTCATCATAACCTACTAATGCTCCTCGTAGTTGATCACTCAATTCCTTTAATTGACGATGCCGAACATCTGCATTTACCTAATAATATTAAAGTGGTTATTATTTATATATTTTATTATGTTAAAAGTTCCTTTTTGTTAATTAGTAATAATGTTATTTAAACTATATGATTATTTTTTTTTCTCAAACCATATGAGCTTATTTATAGATCTGTATGTTAAAAGAATGTAATATAATACTACATATATATAGAATTTATAAATACGTGTATATTTTTTAGCTGTCAAAAAGCAACTATCTCCCAAAAAACTTACAATTGCTAATTTTTTAGAACGAAACTCAACATCATTCCATAATGCTTCCATGATAAAATTTCTAATCATTGCTCCTTTTGTACCTTCATTCATTAAACGAACAAATATCATCCATAAGTGAAGTTCTGTTATAATAAACCATGAATTGAATGTATCTGGTAAGTTAAGTTCTGAAAATGAATAATAGCTTTGAGAAAGTAATTAAAATATTTATGTAATGCTCATTTTATTACTTGTCATGATATCATCAAAAGGAATTTGATCAACCAATTTTTCATATAAAATCCAACTGTTTGCTTCTAATCTCTATAAAATATCAGTGTTAAAATAATTAGGTATTATAAGTTATTAACATATTTACGTGAAAAATAAATATTTACTTACTGATTTATTTAGTGGGTTCATTATTTTAAATCTGTCAATAAATTCAGAAATCTTACTTTTAGTACTAACACCAACAAAGTCTGTGACAGCATAACGTTTAGAAATTACAAAGTTTTTATTATACATTAGGTTATTAGATTTTATAGCAACACAACATAATGATCTAGTTTGGAAAGCCAATATATTTCTAATCGGTACAAGCAACTGAAAAAAAAAAAATGTTCAATTATTTACTTATCATTATAAATAAGTTTATAGATTCTTTTCATCTAATTCTCAACAAATAATTTATTATGTGATGTCTAAAGTAATTAAAAACAGTTTATACAAAGTTTAACAAAAGCAAGGATTTGAATAATAATACATTAATAATGATGGCGGTGTAAAAGTGAATTAAATATTGGTTAAATTATTAATGGTAAAACTAAAATATTATATTTTTAATATCATAATTTCTGATGATTAATAAACAATATTTTTCATTCATTTATATTTTTGTTTTATTATTTATAACCTAACACGATTAATTACGATTTAAACTTTAAAGGTTTTCTAAAACTAGATAGGTACCGTTAATGCATCAAAATTATGTATAACAATATGTTCTAAAGTGGAATATTATTATATTTTATGTATGAAGACTTACCATTTGATCGAACTTTTATTGACAATTTACGTAGTACGAATAAATAATTTATAATATACGTATTAAACTATGAAACCATTAACCATTAATTATTGGACAATTTTGAATGTTGCGCACGGTTTTGTAATATTTCGCTAGCTTGTAAACAGTCTGTCAGTAGTTTGTCTTCGTTGATGAATTGGCTATAACAAGCTTTACAGCTGGTCTTCAACCGGGCTTATATATTAGTTGGTACCATAAAAGTACAACACTCCCGATAACGCTTATCGGCCGTGTCGCAGTAGTATCACAAAATACATTTCAAATCTTATCCAATGGTCATATAACCGGTTATCATCAACGAACCAGGGTATAGACGAAAACTTGGAGCATACGCTGGTGTTACGGCGATAAGCGATAAGCGAGAAAACTGGAGAAGAAAATCAGACACCGTACATCACCGTAAACGAAGTCGGATGTCAAGTGATGAGCAGTTGACGAGTGACGACCGACGTAAAACAAATAACAACAACAATAACAATAATAATAGTAACGACGAGCGGTAGTAGTGACAATAATTACCACAATAAGTCCGTCGGTCCACCGCGGGTTTTCTCGCGCAAGTTGCCGACGTCGTTGCCTTCTCAGCCGACTGCCGAGTCAAGTCGGCGCGGAAGTTGCGTGCGTGCGTATTGTGCGAGATCTGCGCCCGTCCTGGTTCAGTTTTCAGTGTTTTCACGGCAATGCGCCCCGCCGGCCAATCAGTGCTTGGTCAACGTTCGCTCAGAGGTGTTCCCCTGTGCACGTCCGCCACCGTCGCGGATTGAACGCCGTCCATCTGTCCGGGTAATGGTCTCTAATCATGGGCGCGCAGCAGACCAAGGATCGCGCCCTGAACTCGGGATCGCTGACCGTGCGCAGCATCAGGTCCAAGCCGCGGTTTTCCAACGTCAAAGATGGCAAGAACCAAGGGCTCAACATATTCACCGAACACAGTGGTGAGTATGCGCTACTCTTAAATTATTGCATCATTATAGATGTGTTAGATGTGAGTATAATAGTAGGCACTATCGATGATCATAATATGTGACTATAATACATCTATGTGCCATGTTCTATTAAATTTAAATTGCTAGCAATTTGCCATTTTCCAGTATTTAGCTAACAGTAAAACAAATATTAAGGTAGGAGAGTCCTCTGTTTAGCTGGAAACACAATTAAGTACAATTTGATACATTTTTGTTTTAAAATAATTTATAACAATTTATAATATTAGCACACACTTTCTAATAGGCTATTCATATAGTAGATGAAGTAGATAAGTGTTGACTCCACTAGAATAATCTTCTTAAGAATAATACATTATAATAATATTTGAAAATTTTAAAGTAAAATTTGTAGCCGATAGCTAATACTGATGTAAACCATTTAATGAAATATAAATTATATTTAGTGTTCATCTATATATTTTGTTTAACCTAATCAATATAGGAATATGTTATATCCGTGAATTTAAGTAAAAACTGAAAAAAATGATAAATTATAACTTTAAAGAGAAAGTTAAGTTCATGGTGTTTTATTACAAGTTAAACATAAATGTAATTAATAATTTATAATTTTAAACCAACTTTTTATTACTAAATTCATCTATTTTTTGTACCTAGTTTTGATTATGTGGCAGTTAGTAAATGGGAATAATGTATAATATAGGAATAAAGTTTATACAAAAATAATTAATATTCTGTAAAAAGTGCACAGATGCCTTTATATAATCAAATAGTAGCATTACTGAGTATAATTTATCATTAAATTAAATCTACTTAACTAAAATGTATTATAGTTTAAAAAACAATAAATTATCAAATTATAGTTTTTCATGTATTATTGAGGTATAGATATCTTATTGATGTTAAGTACTAAATAATTATAATTTCTTACAATAATTATAATAGGTACTTAAAATTAATATTATTCATGTTTAATAAAAATGTGTAATATAGGTATTAAGAAAAAAAGTCTTCTTTTGAGAAAGTTTCTTTATAATTGATGATATTTTCTGCTCTATAATTTTTGTAGTTAGGTTTTAAATATATTAATTATTTAGTATTTGTTTGTCAGATATTTTTAATTTATATTAGGTATATATATCTTAAAAGTAATTGACCATATTTTAAGTATTAATTTTAGGGTAACAGATTTAATTAAAATATACAACAGTTTAATTAGAATTAGAATATCTAGCTTAATTTTTAAATTGATTTAATTAGATATACTTAAAATGAAAAAAAATATGTATAATTATTATTGAATAAGATTAGATTGTAAATATAAAGATAGTTTTATGTATTTATACCAGACATTATACTGATATACTTAAAATGTACTGTTATTTAAAAAATATATTAAAATGTTTTCTAAAATATTTTAAATTTTTTGTTAATTTTAAATGTACTAATCATTAATCAATATTTTATCTACATAGAAAAAATTTTAACTAGAACAATCTTAGTATATCTACTTTGAATACTTAACATGTTGATAACCATGTGACTGCTAGTGTTTGCACAGCATTAGAATACAACATCATTTTTATGGATGCTGGCAATTCCACCATGTTTTTATTTATATCCCATATATGACCACTAGTGACCATAAATTAATATGGTTTTAAATTAATGGTGAATTAGTTTTTAATTATTATTAACTTCAATGGCACTCCAATAATACATTTTTTGATATAATAAACATATTTATATTTTATATGTTTTTATGTTTTTTCAAATAAAGTAGTATACACAAATTAGGAAAGACATGGAAAAATATGTTTGATGTGTCGATAATATATATTGCGTAATTACTAGTGGTCACATAACAATACAAAAAATTTAAATTGATTTTTTAATAAAATGTGTCTTCTTTATATTAAGCCATAAGTTTCATTAAACTAATTTGGTTAACTAGAAATTACGAGTGTACTTATTAATTATTTTTGTAGACCAATTATATAGTTTATCATAATTTTTTAAGATAAAATTGTGAAATCAATTTAAAATAATTGGAAATATAAATAATGTTTTTAATATTACTGAGTATAGTACATATTCTGTAATTTAGTAAATATTGGTTAAATTTATTTAACAATTTTTAATTTAATTAAAAAATCTATTTTATCTCATAATTGATTAAAAAGTGAAATTTAATTTTAATTTAATATTTTAAAATTACAATTTATTTTTACAGAAGCATTATTACAAAGCCGACCTTTACCTCACATACCAGATCTTCCTGATGGTGATCCTCCTGGAGCCATTCCTTCTGGTGGTGGGAGTTCTGGTGGTTCTATTGGTGGAACAATTTCAAGCAATTTAGAATCTTCGATTCGATGGACATCAAAAGAAAACTTATTGCAATCCCAAGAAGATGATGATCCTCAGTTGTTTGTTGCTTTATATGATTTTCAAGCAGGCGGTGATAATCAACTTAGTCTTAAGAAAGGTTATTGTTAAACAATCACTTATTGATTTTTAGGTTATAAATAATGTTTTTACTTATTTTTGTCTATAGGAGAACAAGTTCGTATCTTATCTTACAATAAAAGTGGTGAATGGTGTGAAGCACATGCATCACCAGGACAAGTTGGATGGGTACCATCAAATTATGTTACACCCGTTAACTCTTTAGAGAAACATTCTTGGTATCATGGTCCTATATCAAGAAATGCTGCTGAATATTTGCTTAGTTCTGGAATAAATGGTAGTTTTTTAGTTCGGGAGAGCGAAAGTTCTCCTGGTCAAAGATCTATTTCACTACGATATGAAGGACGTGTTTACCACTATCGTATTAATGAAGATACCTCTGATGGAAAAGTATATTATTAGTTTAGCTATTATATGTTAATTCTAAGTGGTATTTAATATTTATAATTACCTTATTATATCTAGGTATATGTAACCACTGAGAGTCGCTTTAATACCCTTGCTGAATTAGTTCATCATCATTCAATGCATTCTGATGGTCTTATTACACAACTTTTGTATCCAGCTCCTAAACATAACAAACCTACAGTATTTGCACTTAGTCCTGAACCTGACGAGTGGGAAATTAATCGGACAGATATTGTTATGAGACACAAACTTGGTGGAGGACAATATGGCGATGTTTATGAAGCTGTTTGGAAACGATATAATATGACTGTTGCAGTTAAAACCTTGAAGGTAATTAACTTTTACATAAGGAGTTTTTGTAAATTAATTTTTTTTTAATGTTCCTGTTATGATGTTATTTTATTGTGGTAATAGTGTGTTAATTTACAACATTTTTCAATTTGGTAAATTTAATAATTTTACAGGAAGACACAATGGCACTCAAAGATTTTTTAGAAGAAGCGGCTATTATGAAGGAGATGAAACATCCAAATTTAGTTCAACTGCTTGGTATAATATAATAGCTTAAAATAGAAATTAAATTTTTATATTTATTATACATTCACATTTTTTGTTTATTCAAAATGTTTAGGGGTTTGTACTAGAGAACCACCATTTTACATAATAACAGAATTTATGAGTAAAGGAAATCTCTTGGATTATTTACGACAAGGCAATAGAGAAAATATTAATGCAGTTGTGCTTATGTATATGGCCACTCAAATAGCTAGTGCAATGAGTTATTTAGAAAGTCGCATGTTTATTCATAGGTAAATATTTTTTAAAAATATTTATTTGTTTTAGCTGAGTGTTTAATTTGTTATTTTAGGGATTTGGCTGCACGTAACTGTCTTGTTGGAGAAAATCACCTCGTTAAAGTTGCTGATTTTGGTCTGGCTCGATTAATGCGGGATGATACATACACAGCACATGCAGGTGCAAAATTTCCAATTAAGTGGACTGCTCCTGAAGGCTTAGCTTATAACAAATTCTCAACTAAAGTAAGCATTATTTTAGCAGTATTTTTATTTTTAATGTAATTTTTTTTTTTTTTTTTAAGTCTGATGTGTGGGCATTTGGTGTTTTACTATGGGAAATTGCAACATATGGTATGTCACCATATCCTGGAGTTGATCTAACTGATGTTTATCATATGTTAGAAAAAGGATACAGGTACGATAATACATTTTTATAGAATTTTTGTTTAAACTTTGTACTACCAAATTTAACTGCTAGAATCTTATAATATTTTTGTATCAAAAATGAACTAAACCAATATGATTAAGTTTAAATAAGTGAAATACATGTAAATCTTAAAAATGTTTAATGATAAATTTTGTGAAGTCCTGGGAAGTTGGCATTGTCTAGATACTGTTATTATGATAAAATTAAAAGAGAAATTTCTTTGTAAAGAAATGTCTGGTTAGATTTGAATTAAAAAATAATCTACTATAAACATTTTTGGGAATTTTTAGTCAAGTCTTCCTTGAATCCCTTGATACTGTTTATTCATATTTGAAGAGTTATTGTTTTATCCTTGAGTCCATATATTTAATAGACTATAGTCCGCGACACGAAAAGTGGCTCCTGTGTACCATGACCCGTTGCTGCTTCCTTACCCGTTAGCCATTGATATTCAACCTATACCACATAATCTGTGGCTATGCCACTCGTAATACAATTTTAAGTTTTCAATGTTTTCTATTTGATTTGAATAAAAAAATGATTGGTTTATAAATTTTTCAAAGTTTTTTAGTAAATCAATTTTTAATTCAAAAAAAACGTGGCAATTAGTTTAATTACGTTATGAACCACTGAGGCGAAACGGTCACTAGGTTTGTGATGGGCAGGGGCCACTTTTCGTGTCGCCGACTATAACATTAATATATTAATATAATTTAATTTTTTTAAGAATAAGTAAAATTTAATTCAGTTGCTAAATGTACATTTAATAAAATTATTAGCAATGAATATTATGAGTTAACAATATTATGAGTTTTTTAAGTTAATACATTAACTTAAAAAAAAAAAAAATATATTATTCAACGATATGACATAATATGTGTTATATTCTAATACTGACAGTGTGCTACTCCTGATATTACATCTAGAGGTTTTTTAATTACCTTTGAAGAGTTGGAAGTGATTAGCCGATAAGGATGAAAGTTATTGGTGATGGTAGTGGTTGTGGGGAGGTTATTTCTCCTTGTCAAAATTTATTGGCATTGGGTTTTAAATAGAATATTTCATTTTTATTTTTATACATTTTTTGTTGCTTTTAAACTATGAACATTTGACCACCATTGATTAAACTACATCAAACACATATTTTAGAATGGATTGTCCACCTGGGTGTCCACCAAATATATATCAACTAATGAAGCAGTGTTGGCAGTGGGCTCCAAATGAGAGGCCGTCTTTTAAAGAAATTCATCATGCTTTGGAAAATATGTTTCAAGAATCTAATATTATTGAAGGTAAAACTTATTAAATGTATATTTTAGAAAAAAATCTTTTCTAAAAAAAGTTTTCTGTTTCTTATTTTAGAGGTGGAAAAACAATTACAAGGGAGCTCAACACCTCAGCTATCACATAAAAAGTCTCACGGTAATAATTCAAATATCATGGGTACTTCTTTGGAATCTAATGGTAAATTATTTTATTATTTGAATTAAAAGTGTGAAATATTTTATTGATATTAAATATTTTTTAGAAGCGATTACACAAGTTGAACGTAATTTGTCTACATTTGGTGGACCAGTGGTTAAAGGAAGCCTTGTACAATTGCGACGTCCAACAAATAAACGTGGAAAAACAGCACCGGCACCACCAAAACGTACCAGGTAATTTAGTTATAGTTTTGGTTATTATCTAATTATTAAAATACCTTTCAATATTTAATATTTTCAGTTTGTTGTCATCGTGCAGTTCTTTTAGGGATTCACATTATGGTGGTCCAGTAATGGCTGATCAAAATGATGCAGCTATGTCTCTTCCTCCACAACATTTTTTCGAAGACAACTTTCCACCAAATGGTTTGTTTTACACACAAAAAGAAATAAATAAAAGTTCAAATTTATACTTTATATTATCTATAACATTTAAAATATCAACATCATTTCCTTTATGAGCCTAATAAAAATAAATATGATAATTAATCAAACTAAATTTAACAATTTATTAATCCAAATTGGACTCAAAAAAATTATAATAATATGATAATATACATGAAAGTAAGTAACAGATTTAATTTTGATTTAGTTTTGAGGATGGATGATTGGAATTAATAATTAAAATACATTGTTTTATATTAAAAACTTATAATTTGCATAATTTATATAGGGGTGCTTATAATTCATAATTTATTAAAAATTAATAATTATTTTGTATGTATTATAAATTCTTTTGATCGGGCATTATTGATGAGCTATCATAATGTTATGTATAGTAAATGTTAAACGTTGATATTTGTTAGTAGTTTTTGGAACGTATTCTTAAGTCTTTGTCTATTAAATAATTGTTATGGGTTTAAATATGGTTGCAGGAGTTACCAAAGAGTTGCACAACGTAGTAAACAGCCTTGCTGATAGCGATGGCGCCAGTGAGGAAAGCGCCGAACCGGCAGAAACCGAAAACGAGTGTACCCACATACCGCAGTTAAACCGAGTCCACCGCGGTTCCCTCACAAAAAAGACGTCCAAACACCAAGCGTCACATCCACTTTACCAAAGAGACACTAGTAACTTAGACACGCCAAAGGTCGCGGCGCTAGAAGTGCAGAACGTAAAGCGCGCCATCAACCGCTACGGTACGTTGCCAAAGGGGGCGCGCATTGGCGCGTACCTGGAGTCGCTGAGACACGGTAACGGCGAGTCGACCGAGACGAACACATCCAAACCGCCCGCCAGCTTGCACCGTAGTACCAACATGCCGTTACGCCGGCCTTTTCAACAACCAGGTAATATGACTAGGAGTAACTCGTCGACGAATTTTCAGCCCTCCTCGCCGCGGACTGTTCGCGCCCAACCGACAGCACCCCCCAACCTCGCGGACCTCGAATTCCCGCCACCACCGCCGCCCGAAGACCTCGACCACGAAGAGATGTCCACGTTCCGATTCGGCGTGAGTCTCAGACACAGAGAACCGTCGACGGATTCGTGCAGCAGTGCCAAATCGGAACCGGCCAGACTGAAGTGTGTGGCGGCGCGCAAGGACAGACTGCATCCGGCCGAGCACAGCAACAAACCTGGGGCGGCGGCTGCCGTCGAGCCGTCGCCCGTGTTGTCGAAAAAGAACATTGCTGTCGCCGAAGTGTCACCGTCGTCGGACGAAGACACTGCCGCCAAAGACGTGAAAAGTCTCGTGCCGGACATCATGAAAGAAATGATGGAACTTAAACATCAATCCACGGCCGGCGACAAGAAGACGACCACGACGAGCAGTGGTGCTGTTCCGGGCAAGGAAGATCAGCAGCAGCGGCCTACGTCTCCGGTCGATTTCAAAACGAGCCTTAGGAAGGTGAGCGCTAAGGACGACCGCGATCAATATCACCCCCTTCACCACAATCAGCAGCAACAGTTGCAGCGCATCGACAACAACATCGCCGAAATCAAATCGCAGTTGAAAAAAGTGAAAATCGACGAGAAAAAAGACGGCGGCGATTTGGTCGAATCTACCGGTGACGGCGGTGACGGCAGCGACGACAAGAGGCGGAGCACCGGCAGCATAAGCAGCTTGAAAAAACTTTGGGAGGGCGAGAGCCCGCCGTCGGAAGTGGCAGTGGCGGTGACGGCGAAGGAGAGACGTGTCTGGCCGCCCCCGCACGACGACAACCGACCGGCTGTGCCGGTGAAGCCTTCATCGGCGGCGGCAGCCGCGGCCGCCGCCGCCACCAAGTCGTCCAACAAATCCAACGCGATATACGCGACGCCGGGCGCGGTGTCCCCGTCCAACATCGTCGAACAGTGGCAGACGGTGGACAACAGTCTGCGGGCCCTACGCGCCGCGCCCGCCGTCACGTCGGCCGGCTGGCTGTCGCTGTCCGACAAGGTGGGCGGCTTTCACTCGTCATGCCTCAACTACGCGGACACGGCGGCCCCGCCGAACCTCAGGTTCCACCTGCGCGAGCTGCTCAACAGGTTGGAATCGCAGTCCCGGCAGATGCGGTCCGCGGGCGGCGGTCGTCAGCAGGCCGACCACTCGACCATATTCCAAACGCTGGACGGCACCCTCAAGGACATACTCAACGTCATACAGAGATAGAACTCGCCAGCCCGCCGCCGCCACCGAGTGTAGTCGTATTGTTCTACACAAACACTTACCTTACTACCTATTACAATATATTATTTTATTATCATATATAAATATTATTATGTATTACACGCTTACTCTGCGAATACCAACCCGACGCCGTGGTGTCACATTCCTCTAACGATATATTCTATACGAAATTATTTATTATTTTTTTTTTTATTATTATGGTTATTATTATTATAATTATTTTGAGTTTTGACTGTACAGACTTTATACTTTCTCTTAAAATAATATTCGAAAACAACAAAAATAAGTGTATACTTTAAAATTGGCATTGTGTGCGTGTACGTACGGTGCGTGTAATGTGTGTGACTTTGATGTTGACAGGCTTCTCGTTTTTTTTTTCGTTTTTGACAATAACGTCTCGAGGCAAATTTTCATTTTCACCGTCGTCGAATTATTTATTTTTCTTTGTGTTTCTCGATTATTGATCTGATCGGTTTTAAATTGATTTACCAGCGAACGTATATATTAAACAATTTGATTTTTTTTACATCGAGTTACAGTTGTTCCCGCCTGTTGTGAAGTGCGAGTAACAACAAAAATGTTTCGGTTCCATTAATATCCTCGCTTTTTTTCGTACAGTCGATTAGGATACGATACTTATCATCTGCAATTATCAAGCGTTTAGTTTTTCGGTTAAAAAAAAAAAAAAAAAAAAAAAAAATAAAAATAAAAATAAAAAAATGAGTGGTTGACACGTACTTCGTAATGATACCTATACAAATTAGAACCATAGAAGATATTGTGTTTTTTATTAAATATTTACTATTAATATTTTACATTAATGAAATCATTCCAAGTGTTGTGCAGTAATAATTAGGCTTTGACCCTTTGCCTAGTCTTTCGGTAAATGCATTCCGTCATTTAATATTCGAATTGCTCATAAAAAGTACACGAGAGGTTCCCAAGAATAAAACATAATATGCAAATTGTAATATAAATAATAAAATTTCCGCGACGTTATGTCAATTTTTTTTTGACCTGTGGGTTTATTCATGTTGTTATATGAAAACATATTTATACTATATTTATTATGAATCCCAGTTGAGTGTCGTTTAAGTCCTGAACGATTACTTGTACTCTACTTAAATTGGTTTTTACTTGTGTGTTGACAGAAATTTATGTGAGCAGTAAGGTCGGCACACAAAGATTATTATTATAACTATTTGTTTTTTCTTTTAATGTGTTTGGTGTCTACTTATTCTATTCTGAATGACCGATAACTTGTTTGCGTGCTTGTGTGTTTGTGTGAATGAGTGAGTTTATTTCATCGCTATTTTTATTTTTTATTTTTCTACCTAAAGAATTAAACTGCCCATATTTTGTTGCTCAATGATTTGTTAATTTTTACCATACCTGTAAGATGATTACACCACGATATCGATTTATATCCTCTTTGTGTTTTTTATGTGTATGATTTTTATTATTATTATTATTATTATTATCATTAATTACATATTTAACTTCACCCCATTTCCTTGTTTTCCCTTCTTGTTCGATACATGTATCGTTAATGAATCGTACGCCTACATCTTATTGTAAAAATGCGGTTTTCGAGTCTTTGATCAACGTAATATTTAATTCGATTATATTATATATATATATAAAAAAAAAAAAAAAAAAAAATTGAAAAGACTGAAATGATTTTGTCCACTGGTAGGCCTTTATAAATTATTAATATTGCGATAGTGTACCTACACACGTCATGTTCATCGCAATATTATGTGCGTAAGAAAAAAAAATTATCTTTGAATATATTATGTAGATCTATGTACCTAATCATTTAATTTATATATATATTATGTCTATGTAATAAAAATAAAAATGTTTCATTTTAAAATACTGATCTAGTCTTTATATAGTAGTAGGTTATTTTTTTTCGTATCAAAAATGCACGTTATATCTAAATATTATATTATTTTAATATTTTCTAATTTCTATTAATGAATCTTACGATGTTTACTGTTTTTGCGCTCCGTCTGTCTTGACATAAGTTTTTCGTCTATTATTATATTAGATATATAGAACTTACTGTGCGGAAGCAAATGTAAAACATTTATTACAACGATATTATTTTATTTTATAAATCAATAATGTATGTTAATATAATATATATATATAAAAAAATAATAAAAAATAGTGAGTACTATAAAATATACTATTGACAATGTTACGATTAGAAATAAATGTAATTTTTATAATATTTAAATATTGTTGTAAAATAGTTTGTTCATTTTTTCATTTTTATCGATTATTGACTGACTCTACTTTGATTTCTGACTTTAATAGTAGGTACCTACATTCAACGATTATTTATATAGCGATTTACAAATCTTGCAATTCAATAGTTTACGCGCTTCTGCCACTGCAATTCATCACGTGCATTCATCTTGTGCTGCAAAAGAAATTGCCATGGTCTGTCGAAAATCGGTTCTTGTGCGTATCACCACGTGACATATTGATTGCAACAACCGGTCTCGATGACAAGGTGTCACACAGGGATGCGAAGATCTCTCGGCGAACAAAGTGTGTAATCGTATGCGGAAGATCACAGGAACGTGCGAATTTAAAGAATCTCCAATGAAGTTTACAAATCGTTTGTCAAAGTAAAATGAAAGACGAGATTTTCCGAAAATTCATTATGAAGTTAATACCAAGTGAATACTAACTGTATGATTAAAGTGATTAAACTCCTTCTATAGGTGATATAAATATGTCGAGGGATCTCGAGTGGTAAGAGTACAAGTATTACTTTAGTATGAATACGAGTATAATTACGATGTTGGCATTTGAGGATACTGTGCGAATTTATATGGCTGACTGACTCGTAACGATAGGTATGTAATAAATTATAATAATTTAGGCGTTTTGAAAACAATTTTGATGATTTTATTGATTTAACAACGATGTGCGTTTATTTTATGTATCTATGTGTCATCACAAAAATCATCAGTAAAAATGCTTAAATTTTTAACTTCAGTATCTTGTCTGGGCAGGAAAGTAAATCTAGTTGATACTTTTTGGTGTTATAAGTAAAAAATTATCAGTATATCAGTACAATTTCTAATTATCAGGAAGAAAAATATGGAAATGCGAAGGAATATTTATTCGTAAAAAATTTTTGACAAATTCGATTTTTTAATTTTGTTGTAATTAAACACTAATAATCAAAAATACTTGAAATTTTAATCAAATGATTACCTAAATTGGTATTATATTGGTATAATTGGTATAATTTAAAAAAAATTTTATTTTTAAGCTATTCATAAACATTTGGTATTCTCAATTTTTTTGTTATAAATATCGGTAAAATAATTTTTACTCGGTCAAAATATTTGACAATTTAACTCAAGATTTTACATACATTTTTTTCATTATAATTATTTAAAAACTCTCAATTGATTTAATCCTTAAATCTTATTCCCTCTTATTCCATTTAAAGCTAATTCACCATAAAAATCCTTTATTAAATCGATTTATTTCCCGTGTAATTTCTGACAATTTCCAAAGAAGACCTTATTTGATCTGTTGTATGAAACTACTGATTAGTGAGTACCTTCCCACCTTGTAATTTTCTGCTATTTAATTTAATATAAAAATGTCTTAGTGTTACAAAGAAATGTATAGATTGTGATTATGCTTTTTAATAAAATAAAAAAAAAGCTTTTAAAAACTTTAAGGATACATTAAAACGATTTTTTGTCTAAAACCATTTGAAGTTTAAACTTAGACAAAATTAGATATTCAATCAAAATAATAACGTTTTTAGTTATTCTGTTTTAATTTAAAAATATTATTTTTGAAGCTTTGAAACTTTTACGTATTATGTTTCATATTTAAAAAAATAATTAGATTAATTTTTTGCAATTGCTTATTTATACCACGAACCTATTCATACAGTTTTATAGTTAGTTGATAACGATTCAAAAATAAATACAATAATTATAATAATATATGATATAAATATATATTGTTACAATTATAAATATTTATGATGTAATAAACGTAATGTATTTTGCAGAAATTAATTTAACCTACTTTTTCAATAAAAATTAGATTTGCTAAAACTCGAAGGGTGTTTATAGCTTATTTTTATTATACATGAATTTAGAAAGTAGAATATTTTTTGGTTTATTTAAATGGCTATCTTTGGTTACAGATTGTATAAAGATTATTAGTTGAATTTGGCATATATCTACAAATCTTAACAAATTCATTATGTCTATATATATATTTTAAAAACAAAAATTAAAATTAAATACTTTTGAACATGGTTTTAATAATTGCTCTCATAATTTTCTTTCTCAATTTCGGATAAATGTTTATTGAAAACATTAGAAAACGATTATTAATCTTAACTATATTGGATTTATGTCGGTTTTTAAGCATTTGTTGAATGTGTTTCTAGTTTTTTGTGTTTACATAAAATGTGTCTAAAATAAAGAAGTTGTAAGTCATAAAACTAATTATTTTAATTTGTTTATATTAAATTTAACGCTTATAACTCTTATATTTATTTATATTTTTTATTTTATGCTCTACTAGATGTATTATTCGACTTCGTCCGAGTTAAAATTAATCTATCTCCTCTATTTTATATTTCTATCGTTATCTATTTTGTGTATATAAAATTTTCGGTAAAATTGATAACGATAGAAGTATAAGACAGGAGAGATAGATTAATTTTAATTTGGACGAAGTCGAATAATACAGCTAGTATAGTATAAAATTAAAAATATATTTAAGTAGTAATTTAGGCTATCAGACCGTTTACGCTCAGAATCGTTTTTCGTATATAATGATCCCTAGTTTGATTCAAATTTAAGACATATGTCTCAGAGACTTCCTCGATGATAAGGCATACTCAACACTTTTAGTACCTACAGCATTTTCCACTTTATGTTTGTTTGTCGATATCTCTCAAAGCAATACTTCAATTTAAATCATAATCATCACTCATGTTAACAAAATATTAAATGCGAGTTAGTATCCACACGTGAATATTAAACCTTTTTAACGTCACCGTGTGCAGATATAGTCCTTGTAAATTATTGATCGCAGAATTTGTATAGGTTTGATAGCTGTGAATATAAACTTTACAACAAGTTTTTGCCCAATATATTTCACGCTCAGTAATAATATTTTATATTCGTTGCGCGGCGTGTTGTATAGGCAATGTTGGTACATTGGCGTTTAAGTAGCCATTGTATTAACTATAGTTATTATTATTAACATAAAATATATACGCGAATATAATAAAGATACTATTTTTTTTTTTTTATATATAATTATGACAACAATACAGTGGTGTTAAGTTTTTTTTGGGAGGGGAGGGGTAAGTTAATACAAGCAAAATTAATAACAACTGTTGCTACCGCGCCAGTTAAATGAAACATACCATTTTCATGCAGGTCCGCCTAGAATATACCGCTTAAGGAACATTAAGAAAGTTTAATTATCTGTAAAAGAACAGGTCAAAACTTTTCTCCAGTCTAGAAAAATTTGAAAAGACACCATTTATTTGATAACAAATGTTTACTCATGTGCTACTATAATGTTTATCTGTGAACGACGGAAAATTCGTAGATTTCAAACAGCACAACAAAAACTGTAGATTATTTTAGCTATATCATACACAGTTATGTTTACATAATAAATTCATTTTACATGTATAGAATATAGTTGCATTAACAGTGTTTTTAATTTAAGAAAAAGGCATAATAAGCATATCCAATATTAAAAATAATAACACATCATTATTGAGTTGTCTTTGATTTGTTGGAGAAGGATCGGGTAGATGGTTATTTTGAAAATTGTCACTATTGTCAATTTGTGATTTATAAGAAGTCAAAGGCATCTAAGTATATTATATAGGCACAATATGTCAGTGAATAACCATTGTAAAAGAATTGTTATAATCATTATACATATATTATAATTTATATTCCTATTATTTATTAACGACCGTTCTTTGCGGAAGCATCTGAACTTTTTAAAATTTTGAAACACCAATAAAAGTAAAATTAAAATAATTGAATGATTAAATACTTATTATATTTTTAAGTTTATAATATATATATGCAATATGCATGTATAAATATATACTCAATTAGCCAAATTAAATTTTTTGTATTTTTTGTCGCATCTACTGCAAAAATATAGTGATTGTTAATAAAATTCAGTAAAGTATACAATTATTTATCTTATAATATACTATATACTATAATATATTATATTTTATTTTATTATAATTTGTAATTTACAAATTGTTATTCGCAGTAAAAATCAAGTTATAATTATTAATCCGAGAAACTATTACTTTAAAGCGCATGTCAAGTACAATAATTTTAATAACGTCTATAATACTGTGGTTATTATCTTTATATGTTAGGGATTTAAATGGTTTTTGGCGACGTCCATTGCCCAAAAAGTTTTTTAATTTTCAAGTATATTGGATATATGTACAGTGGATAGCGTACCGGCCAACGTCTGGTAATCGCCCCGGGTACATTTTATTATTATTTGTACCAGTTATATTGCTATAGATATTCTTCGGTAGTGGTAACCATGGTCACCGTGCCCATAATTTTGCGTTATAAGTTCGGGAAATTCTAATATTACCATTG